AACTTTTTTCCTAGTTTAAGTTTAGCTTAGTGTTTCTATATTCAACCCATTTCTGAAATGTTTTAATCATCAAAACATATAAACAATCATAGTTGAGTTGTCAAAAAATAAAATCATTTTTGTGGTCAGCAATAGCGCTTGATCATACGCCATTCCTGTCCAAACCTGTATAATGTACTTATATCACCATATAAATCCTATCAAAATTATGATAATACAGCTGTTAGAAAATGTGGATTCCACGCTAGAATAATTTTATGTTTTGTAAAATGTAATAGTTTGGATTTATAAACTAAACTTTCTATGAAAAATACTTTTATTGTAACATCTCGTCAGATCGAAAGTTTTTACAAACTGACTGAAATATAGCAAGAAAAAAAAAGTCCCCCTCCCCCACCCACCCCTTCTCTTTAATTAAAATACCCCTTTTTTATGTTTAACCTTACGTCTTGTGTTCTTAGTCTTATGCTGTATTTTACTGTATAGCTTAACAAAATAATAAATAAGAATTAACTTTACACATTTATGTTTTGTGTTATTACTCTTATCATAAATAAGTGAAACATGGAAATAAATTCAAAAAAAAATGATGAGTTTCTTAAGAAAGAGTCAACAAAGAAAAAGAAAGTTGATCCAAGTCTTTGGAAGAGAAACATAAAAGTTGCCAGAATAAAAGGTGGAGAATTTGTTATCTTCGAAGGAAATACTAAATCGTACCCTGCAGGTAAATTTCTTTTTATTCAATGTTACTAATCAGGGGCTATTCTAGACCATTTTCAACAGCATCGATCATATTTGGGCTCCAATTTGGGAACTACCCAAATTAAAAATTAAGGACCTTTTTTTTTTTTTTTACTTTTTTTTACGACAAATATTGTTTTTTTTCACCAAAAAACGTAGTTATTCAGCAATATTTTTGCAAAATTTCTTGGGAACAGGGAGGGGGGTACTGCCGCCCAAATATTTTTCCTAGAATAGCCTCTGCTAATAGTTTTACAATTTCATTTTCACAGATAAAAATTTTAATAAATTGCAGTAAAAAAGTATTTTTTGTTTCTTTTAGCTGTAAGAGAAACAACTGTCTTGAGAAAATTAATGAAAAGGATCAAATGGATATAATTTCCATACCTTTAACACTAAAGATGAGCTATATAATAAAGATTTGTTCCTACAATCTTTGATTGATTCCTAAGAAATAAAGAAGAGAAGGAAAAGGGTTTTTAAAAAAAAATCACGTTATTGTGGGTTCTAATCAAATGCAGGTATGTTTTAAAGCTTTTTTAAGTTTACATGTTGTTACAAAAAAACAAATTGAAAGATTGCAAGCTTTTGAAATGATTGAAAAAAACCCAGAGGGTAAAAGAGGAAGTCACATAAAAGAAGCATTGCCTGAAGAAACCAAACATTTTATCAGACAGCACATTAAAAGATTCCTAACTAAGGAAATTCATTATCTTGGAAAGCCTATATGCTATCTAGATGCCACTTTAAATGTTAAAACTATGTATAGGATGTTTAAGGTAAAATACTTTTCTATAAAAGTTGGCGAAACAAAGTTTTTCAACTTCATCAAAGAAAACTATAATCTTTCCTTTGGATGACTGCAAGTTGACATATGCTGCACTTGTGAAGAACTCAATTTAAAGTTAAGAAGTCCTCGTCTTTATGAGGCAGCAAAGAGATCTGAACTAAATGTAAATCGAAAAAATTTTATGATCAAATTCAAAAAGACGACAATGACAAGGACAATAGTCAAATTTTATCATTGTGTTTTAACTTTATGCAGAACATACAAATCCCAGAAATAGCAGTGCAAGAAACCTATCTTAGGCAACTTTCAGCTAATGTTTTTTGTATTCATAACAATAAAAGTAACAAAGCACACATTTTTGTTTACCACCAAGGCACAGCAGGCAAGGATCCAGATGTAGTGTGTTCCCTTCTGTTTAACTATTTAATGAAGGTAGAGAAGCAGTTTACCAAACTCCATTTATTCTCAGATAATTGTTGGGGCCAAAATAAAAACCATTCATTATCTAGACTACTCTTAGCCATAACTAAATTAAAGAAATTTGAAAAGATTGAGCAATTCTATCCAATAAGAGGGCACTCTTTTCTACGGTGTGATTAAAATTTTAGCATAATAAAACGAGAACTAAACCGACATGGCTGTACACAGTAGACCAAATGTGTAATCTTATTAAGACATCCTCCAAAAATGATAAATTTGTGGTAGAAAAAGTTAAGTCCTCAGAAATTTTAGACTTCAAGATGTGGTGGCTACAATTTTACAAAAAAAGTTGTGTTTCCGATGAAACCAAAGTAAGCAAGTTAAAAAGGACAAAAAGCAGTACTTTTCAATAAGCAAGTTCATGGCACTGCACATATGATATAAAATTTCCATCTAAGGTTATAGCCCAACCTTTCATCGATTCTATAATGAAATATAGATTTTCCTTTAGAGCAACTGGTTTCCCAAATTTATATTTTACAAGTAAAGAAGCTTACCCTGCTCTTATTGCGTATTTCAGACTAAAGAGATTTCTTTGAAGATAGTATATATTTATAAAATTAGTTCTTTATATATAGGAGTTTATGTAAATATTGATTTCTTGGTGTTTTTAGTAAATAACATTATTTTTTACACGCATTTAGCTGTCTTTTTTAAAGAGGATAAGTCATGCAAATTTAACTTTTTTATATATAAAAGCATTGTAAATGTCATTAATCTAGTGTGTTTTATGATAACTGGGGTAATAAAGAATTTATTATTATTATTATTATTATTGTCATTATAATCATTATTATTATTATCATTATTATTATTACTAGATGTCATGACCCATAAAATACGGGTCTTTTTAATTTATTTTAAATTGCCTTTTTCTATACTTATTCCTTACTTCAATATTTTGTAGCTCACTACAGAAACTGTAGAAAAATAGCTATATACATATAGAAAAACTATACTTATTGTCTCTTTCTTAAAGCAATGAAAAATAAAAATTTATATTATAATTAACCTTAATCAACATTTAATGTTACGGTAACTGTTGCGTAAATCACCGATTGGATATTAGCAGCGCTCAAAATAGTTTTTTAAAGCTTGCAGACCAAATACAATTTCACAAAAACAGGTTATTTTCCCTTGAATTTTTTGAAATTTTCCTAAAAATAGCCGATCATTGATTGTTGATTGGCCATTATTTCAAGCACTGTATTAGTACTTGTCTATATACCCGCTTTAAACGTGACCAACGGTATAAAAAGTTTTACATGACTGGATCTGTAAACACATGGGTCTTTGTAAGTCTACAACAATCTTCTCTATACTTTTACTCTATATGCATATCCTAGCTTTCCAGACCAGTAAAAAACAAGTCTTACCTTAACCCTAACCCTGACCAAAGCAACCATTTCTATACTAATTTATTCCACATAGATCATTTCTTACTCATTTTAGTATTATTTAGTGAAATAAAATAATTTCAAAATTTTCTAAATAAATTGCTTTAAGCGCAAATCCAAACAAAATTGACAAAAAAGAAAATTAACATGCGCACCTTTTCTTTATACGGATCTTATAAGAGTATCTTAGATAAATGGATTTAATAAATTTATAAAATAGTTTTACTCATAAATGGAGAACTTTAAAAAGCATTTTAAAAAATTATATTCTTTTGGTTTTTTATAGGATATAATATCTTTGTATATGTGTAATGCATATAATATCTATAGGCCTTAAAAATGCTTAGGACTCCAACCCCGATCTCCACCTCCATATGTTGGCATGGTAACCACTCGGCCATGTTAACACATACATTAAATAAAGTTTAAAATTATTTTAAAATCAAAAGACTATATAAAACAGAAATAAATGATGTTCTAGCAAATACAAGTAAAACTGTAAAACTTGATATTACATATTTATTATTACAAAAAGCTTGATACTACATAAATATCAAAAATTCAATAAACATACAGTTTTATTCAAAGATACAACTTCATTTAAAGATATACCTTTGTTTAAAGATATACTTTCATTCATGTTTTCTTATAAAACAAAGCTGATGCAACTCTTTCTCGTCATTATCTCAGTTGCAATAGCTGCCAAGAGTTCTGTGTCAAAAAGGCTTGAAAGGGCACTAACGCTATCAAGTTCAATACTATTAATTACATTATTATAATAATTAGCCTGTTTAAAGCTATTTAAAATCATTGTAAAAAATAGAAGATGCAATTTTTACAAATATATATATTAAAAAATTACATCTTTTTGAATAAAATTAAAAATAATGCAAAGTTTTACTTAGTTTTCTTAAAACTATATGTTGTTGACTACTTCAATTTTAGCATGAGCCAATTCAATTATAATTGGTAATCTTTCTTTAAATGAAATTTTTATCAAGCTTTATAAAGATATTTTTTCATAAAGCTTGGCAAAAACTTCATTTAGAGAACTTTTTTTTGGAGGGTTCAATACCATTAAAGTACAACTATTTATATTAATATTTAACATTATGGGCTATAGCTTAATTTCCTTTTTCTTAATAATTTAGTAAACTAAACAAAAAAGGAAACAATTTTGTTGTAATTGCTTATGTTTTGTCTATTTATTAAACTATGATATGATAACCTATTTTTAGTTCAATATCACAATCCAATATTATAAGAATAAATACGTGTATATTTTTATAATATTGGATTTTATATAGAATTATATATATTGGAAGTATATACTAAAGTAAAAATATATTTTTAAAAGCATGTTTTAAAAAATATATTTTTACTTTAGCATATTAAAATAAGTAGTTTATGTGTTATAAAGTTACCAGTAAATTGTATTAGACTGAATGAATTTAGAATCTTTTTATTTGAAGATAATATGAGATATCCATTACTTGGAAAGCAAACGAAATCTTCGTAATAAAACTAATGACTAAATTATTACTATTTAATAACATATTTTGTTAAACTACTTAAGTTGTATAATTACTTACTTCATGTATGTAAAACTAGATCCACAACAAGACATTTACCCTTTTTAAAAGAGTGATATAGCTACTATTACAATACTATTTATTAACATTTTTGTCTGCTTTGTTAACTTTTTTTATCTACTAACGACGGTAACACTACACTCTACTATACAAGTTTAATATTTTACATTTCCTCACACTGGCAACAATCGGCAATATCTTTTTCAAACAAGCGTAATTAGGAATTTTATAACAGGAGGGGGATGCAGTTACAAACCATATTATGGTTTATAAAATTTTTGATTACGCTTGTTTGAAGTAATAATATATAAGAAAGTAGATAAGTATTTAAATATTTAATATAAAATATTAAATATTTAAACGCACGTATGCACATAATATTATTATGTGCGTACGTGCGTTTTAATATTATACTTATCTACTTTTTTGAAAAAAAAAGACTTAAATTACATTTAGCTAGCTTTATCTGAAGCATGAGTCAATGTTAAATTAAAAATACTTGCCCTTTTGTCTATTTTTTCTATTAAAGTCACCTTTCTTTTCCCGACAAAACTTCCAGGGCAAGTCTGATTCGACTCGTCTAACTACCGTCTCATTAGTCTTCTTTCTATTATAAACAAGGTTTTAGAGTCTTTAATTACCAAACACCTAATTTCTCATTTTGAATCTAATAACTTTATATCTCTGATTGCTCAGAGGGCCCCCTCTAAACAATAAGAGAGTTTGAACTTGAAATAGATCTCAATTTGGTTCAACAATGAACTCTCAGTGGCTGGTAAACTTTAACTTAGATAAAACTCAATTTTTCTCAGATAATTGTTATTGCAATAATTTATATCTTTCTATATTTATGAACGGTAATGAACTCAATAAGTCATCTACGTTTCATCTTTTAGGATTAACCTCTGACTTTCTTGGAAAACATATCTCAAGTCCATTGCAAAATTAGCTTCTGTTAAGGTTGATTCTCTTTATAGTGTTTACCACTTTCTTACTTAGGATTCTATTTTTTATTACCATAAATCTCAAATCCGTCCTCGTATGGAATACTGTTGCCATATCTTGAGTGGATCTTTTAAAGATGCCCTTTCTCTTTTTAGTCAAGGTGCAACAAGGCATTGTAAACTTAGTTGGACCTGCTTTTGCAGCCAACGTCCAACCATTATCACATCGTAGTAATTTTGCTTCTTTTTCTGTTTTCTATAAATACTATAATAGGCACAGTTCTAAAGAAATAGCGTCTCTTCTGCCATCTAAATTCATTCTCATGTTACTCGTCATTCAATTGAATCTCATCCTTTTACTGTGACTGTTCCTGATTGCTCCAAAAATTCTTGTTCTACTAGTTTTTTTCCTTAAACATCAGTTCTTTGGAACTCGCTTCCTTCGTCTTGTTTACCTGACTCATATAATTTGCAATCTTTTAAGTCGTCGTTAATCGTTATATTGCTCTATAAATTTCATCTTTTCTCTTTTGGTAACTTCCAACTCATGCAGCGGTTGCTTGCAGCCTTGTGGAAGGAAAGATTAAAAAAAAAATTAAGCTGTTCCTTGGCGACAGAAAACACTAGGATTTTTGGGAAAGCAGAAAAGAAAAGAAAGAAGTTTGCTCGAAAAATGGATTAATATCAAAAAAATTTTAATCTAAACGATTTTTTTGGGAGTAATACCGAAAATTAATTTTAAGAAATTAATTTGGAAAAAAAAATCGAAATTCATTTAGAAAAATAATATTGAAAAAGCATATACTGTATAATATCAAAATTTGGATTTAAGAATAGTATTAAAAACTAGCTAAGAGGTAAAACATACAAGGAGTGCTGCTATATCGACTGACAAATAAGTAGAACATGCAAGTAGTGCTGCTACATCGATTGAGGGTTTGGTTTGGGCCGGCAGTCTATCAATTTAAAAAAAATGAATCTTTATAATATTTTGCTTTAGTATAGTTAAATTAGATAAAAAAGAACTAAACTCGCAAAAAATACATAAAAGCTCAAATTTGGTACATGAAATATGTCTAGAATTACCAAAAAAAGGCCCCATCATTTGGGTCAAGCGAAAGTCCATATGTGGGCATAATGCACAGGGTGATAATTCAATTTCAATAAAAGTGCTTCCAATATATTGTTGAAAAGATAATTTAATGCTGATTACAATGTTATTAAGACCTTATTTTGAAAATTACTAGTTTCAAGTTCATTTACTTAAAAGTTACTTAAAAGTTAATTTAACTAATTGTCGCTCTTGTATTTCTTGTGTTGTAAGCTAGTTTAAGTCTATGCATTAAAATATAACAATGTATGCAGTACAGTAGTATGCAAAACATTATAAATTTAGAAAAACAAAGAAAATGCAAGAGAAATTTTTAATTTAATTGAATCATTGAATATCTTGCTATCTAAATTTTCACTGAGAGCGTCAACCTTGTTGTTCCCCAAAAAAAAACATCACAAATGTCATAAAAAAAACCATGTTTACTAAAGGAAATCAATACTACATGCAGCATTTGTTTAAAAAAATGTTTATTTGTACGTTTTCATTATTGCATCTCTCTCCATGACAACCACCACAAGCATCTGTGCATTTAATTCCATGTTTCCTATTTGTAGAAAGTTTAGTTCCGCATTGATTCTTTGAAAAACTTTTATATATAACCAATAATATATTTTGCAGCGTATAACCAATAATAGATTTTGCAGTGCAATTTCTTTACTAGTTGTGAATGGATAAAGAATTCCATTTTTATTCGTCCTGCCCCATTTTTCTGGTTTTAAATTAAATCTATTGTTAAGTAGCTTCCAGGTAATTATTTGCAAATGCACGCAATCCAAGTCTGCTTTTACCGTTGAACCTTTTTCGGCTATATATATATATATATATATATATATATATATATATATATATATATATATATATATATATATATATATATATATATATATATATATATATATATATATATATATATATATATATAGACGCGGATCTAATGGGTGACGAATGTGGCCATGGCCACATAGTTTAAAGTCAGATTGATTTATTAAAAAAATTATTTAATGCTTATCAAAAATCTTTTAGAACTTTTAGAATTAATTATTAAGATATTTTTAAATATATGTAATTGAAAACGAATTTAAGCAATTTTAGGCGTATCATTTTTCGTCGTTGATAAACTACGTCACGCTAAGTTTAAATTTTAAAAACTTCGCAGTAAACATCGCTATATTATTTCAAAACTCTCTGCAATAGAAAGTCAATAATACTTATAAACTCTGCGTGACTTTATGGATAACCCTTATCGGCTTATGGCCACAGAGATAAAATTTAACGGCAGCTTAGCTTCGGATTTTTTTTGCTAGTGTAATATTAAATTTCATTGCGTCTGCCGTAATTTACGTAATTTGGTCATAGAGATTTCTGCCATGGCCACAACAGCTCCTATTATCCTATTATACAGACCTCTTATTCAATCAATAAATGCTCTCAAATAAATAATAAAATATAGATCTTTCAACCGCGAAAATAAAACTTGGCCACACAGTTGGTTTTAACGTGTCCGATTTAGAAAAATGTTTTCTTATATAGTAGTTAACAAATTTGGGCATTTTATTCGTTACCGTGAGATTATCATTAATATCGTTTTCCGCATTTCTTTAGAAACTTAGATGACGTGGTTTTAATAACTTGATTTTTAAATATTATAAAATATTAATCCACATTTAACAGAAGAATTAGTTGCTTGTGCAATAGAAACAAAGCATTAGGCCTAATGTTAAGTCTAATGTCTTAAATTACAAAACTAGACTCATTAAGAGCTTTCGGAAATAAATTTAATGTTTCCAAGAATACACGATTCTTACCAATTTAATACAGATATGATGGATTTTGTACCCTTAAGTAAAAAAAATCTTGGTTATTCAGCATTAAGGTATTTTGTATTTGTTTTGAGCTTTATGAAAGTTTTATTCAAGTAAAATAATATAACAAATTGGATCTAGATGTAAGATCTATGTTAGATTTTAACTTTATTTTTTGGTGTTATTATTAATACAGATTTATATTCTTGATAAAGTGTATGAAAATAAATTATTTATTAAATATACAAATAACCTATAAAAGTGATTTAGTTGTTTAGGCGTCTTTAAGACGTCGTGTTTTTACTGGGATCACATTATATTAAAATTCACACAATAAGTAATGCTGAAAATAGTAAAAATTATATAAATATGACTTTAAAAATGCAATAAACTTTAGCGAGGATTGACATTTGGACATTACGCTTGGAGAATAAAACTGATATAGAAAATTTATAGCTAAATATATCGAAAGCTTTCGACACATTTCACAACTATCTCCTACTTCTAAAATGAAAAGCTTATAGAATAGATGACAAACTTTACATTGCATTAGAGTATCATTGTTGGTGGTACATACTCAGAATGGATCATAGTAAATAGTGGGGACCCCATTATTTACTTTTATGATATATATTAACGATTTTTCTGATATGGTTTTAGATGTTGTATCTGTATTTACAGATGATACTAAGTTATACAGTTTGCTTTTTGATAGCTCACCATGCAATAACCTGCAAAAAAGTATGGACATTATAGCAAACTGGGCAAAACTATGAAAACTAAGTTTTAATGTAAAAAAATGTAAAGTTATGCCCTTAGGACCAACAAATACAAAATTCATTTATATTCTCGTCAATAAAAATTTCATTACTTCAATTAATCTTAAAAACTCTCTTGTCAATAAAGGAATCTTCATTGACAGTAATTTGACTTTTATTTTATAAATACAAAGAATAACACCGCCAATAAAATTGTAGGAATGATCAAAAGATTATTTGTTCATCTCAATATCTTGACATTTCGTCAAGATATTGAGATGATTCTTGATTCTTGCAGCTCTCTCTACTATCCTAGGCTTTAAAAAGATCAACAATTAATTTAAACTGTGCTATGCAAGTTTAGTATACTAGTTTTTGGCCAGACTGGACTCACTTACAACCAAAGGCTACTGAGGCTAAATTTACCTAGCATGAACTATCGCTTCTTAGGTAATGACATGGCAGAAACTTACAAATACATTCACAATCTTTATAATTGTAGTTGCAACCCTTTTGTTTCCTCATTAAATACCATTCAGTATTTTATCTATCAACACCTGTGTCAGAGTGATGTCATCTGCACGTCCGTTATA